ATTTGGTGAAAATTCCGTCGATTCATTTGGTATTGTTAACTAGTTTATGCAGTTTGAGAAATTAAAACCGCGATTGTTAGCTTTTAGAATTGTTTCCGATTCTGCGCAGCGTTTTGAAGTCATTCTTGGTCGCCCGTTCACTGAGGCAGCGAACATCAGTTATACACGCGTTGGTGACCAATTACATTTTGTTAATATTGAGCCGGTTAAGGTAAATTCGATGAAGACAACAAAGGCTTTAGCGACTGAGCGAGTAGAGCTCGAGCCTGGTGTCATTAATCTTATGAACGTCAAAATAAATTCCCTGGAAGTTCTCATTTTTGTGGAAAATTTTAACCCCACGCGTAAAGTAGTTGATGTCGGTTGCCAGGTAGGGGAACCTATATGCTCGATTGAAGCGATTAGGAGTATGAATGAGCGACTAAGTCCCATAAGCCCAAGCGAAGTGACAGTCCATAATAAAATTACAGATGCGCAGAAAACTGAGTTCATAGATTTGCTGAATAAGTACCGGCGGCGTATTGCTAAATGTATCGAGGAATTAAGACTGACAGATAAAATTGTAATGGATATTGAGGTGGAAGAGAATAAAGTTTTTTCATCAAAGCCGTATCGCTTAAATACGCGAGATCGCCTTGAGCTTGAAAATATCATAAATGATTTCAAGCGCGTCGGCATTGTAGCAGAAACTGATTCAGCGTATGCTAGCCCTGCATTTTTAGTCAGAAGGAAAGACGGGTCGCCAAGGATGGTAGTGAATTTTAAAAAATTAAATCGTATCACGAAACCTGTGGCTTTTCTGATCCCGAATTTTGACAATCTGTTGGATGAATTGCATGACGCAAAATTTTCCGTTATTCTAGACTTGACTCGGGGATATTTACAAATGCCACTAAGCGAGGAGGCTAAGCAACGCACTGCTTTCATTACTGAAACGCAAACGGGTCAGTTTGAAAGAGCGATGCTAGGGTTGACTAATACTCCTAGATATTTTGCCAAGTTGATGGAATGAGTACTTGGTCTAGCGCGGCGTATGGGAATTGCGTTCAATTTTTTCGATGATATTTGTATTTTTGCTAGGGATTGGCCTCAACTTTTAATAAATTTGGAAAAAGTTTTGAAACTGTTATTCGACGCCAATTTGACCCTTAGATTAGAAAAGTGCAAGTTTGGGATGACCAATGTAGAATATTTGGGGTTTGTAGTGGGAGAAAGTCAAATCCAGCCTGGTCCTCGAAAAATTTATGCTATTGAAAATTTTCCGAGGCCAGTAGATAAACATACCATTAGACGGTTTCTGGGGTTGGCTAGCTTTTTCAGACGATTTGTTCCTGGTTTCGCATTAATTGCAAAGCAGCTGAGTAGTTTGCTTAAAGAAAAGGACAATTTTAATTAGACGGATGAACAAAAAAAAGCGTTTATAACCATTAAGCATAAATTATTAGACAAGCCCGTGCTTAAGCTTTATAATCCGCAAGCGTGTACAACCGAATTACACACTCACGCATTTTCGGTAGGGTTAGGAGCAATGCTGTTGCAGGTAGACCAGGTGGGTGATGAGTTAAAGCTCGTGTATGCAATTAGCCGAAGCACTACAGAGTGCGAGTCAAGGTATCATTCCAGCAAATTGGAGGTGCTTGTAATCGCATGGGCTCTTGAGCGTTAGCGTCCGTTTTTAATTAGTTTAAAGTTTTCTGTTCTTACTGATTGTCAGTGTTTAGTGCATATGAACGTGTGGAAAACTAATAATGCGCAAATAGCTCGGTAGATGAGTCAAATTTCGGAATTTGACCTTGAAATCAAGCAGCGGCCTGGGGAGTCGATGAAACATGTTGACGCGTTGTCAAGGGCTCCAGCGCTTGGCGGGAGTGTTGGTTCTCAATTTGTACTAAACTTTAATACCGGAGAGAACGAGATTCTCATGTTTCAACGAACTGACTCAGACGCTCTCAGATTAATTACGATTTTAAATAAAAAGAAAAGCGAGCGTGACAAGTTGGAGAAGCAGTGTGCGAAGAATTTTGTGTTGCGAGATGGACTATTGTATAAGCGAATTTTAACGGAAAACGGGGTTCGTGAACGTTACGTAGTTCCTAAATCAATGCGAAAAAGTTTTGTAAATAAATTCCATGATTTGTCCAGTCATTTCGGAATTGATAAAACGGTAAACAGATTAATGGAATATTATCATTTACCAAGAATGCGTCAATATGTTCGAACGCCCATTAAGAATTGTTTGCCGTGCATTTTAGCGAAAAATAAAACTGGCCAGGGAGAAGGTGAACTTCACCCCATCCCTCCAGGCAAGCGTCCGTTTGCAATAGTTCACGTAGATCATGTAGGTCCTTTTCCTACTACAACGCGAGGAAATACTCGTATTTTCGGGATCATCGATAATTTGACTAGATTCGTGGTATTGGAACCGGTGTCTAGTGTATCTTCGAAGGTGACGGTTAAAAAGTTCGAACAGTTTGTAAACCGTTTTGGCGCTTACAGTCGAATCATTTCCGATCACGGAACTAGTTTTACGTCACATGCCTTGCAGGAGTTTTGTCTAAAGCATGGCATAAAGCATACCCTCCATTCAACGTGACATCCTCAAGCGAATGGATTGATTAAGCGTTTGAATCAGACTCTCATTCCTGCTTTAAAAATTGCTGCTGATACAAATGAGTTTAAATGGGATGGTAAAATTGTTCAAATAGAGCGGGATCTAAATTCAACTATTAGCGCAGCTACGGGGATGGCTCCTTTCGAAGCTCTGCTTTGCTATTTACCGCGTTTTAATGATGGTTTAATGCGAGAAATCACTGAGCATTGTGAAACATAGCGAACCAGCTAAGGTTCAAGCCACAGTCCGCGACAATATTTTAGCAGAGCAAGCCCGATATAAGGAAGCATATGATAAGAATAAGCGTAAATTAGTTAGTTTTAAGGTAGGTGACATCATCTTCATGAAACGAGCTCCAGTAGCGACCGGCCTATCCACTAAACTGCAGATGTCCTATTCTGGGCCCTAAGTTGTTTTTGCGGTTGTTCCTAGTGATACGTATCGGGTAAGGTATTTAAATGAAACGCGAAGGCGGAATTATGAAATGACAGCTCATGCATCGCAGCTAAAAATTTGGACTGGAGACTCGCGATATGATTTCGATGATAATGCAGACGAAGGCGAATTAAGCGATTCGGAGCCTGTCATTTCAGAGCAGGAAACCGATAATCCTATCACTTGTACGTCTGCTAGCGACAATGAAAAAGATAATACCGATAAAAGGCCAAAAAGGAATGTTAAACAACTAAAGCACTTGAATGATTATGTACTATAACATGTACGTTTATATTGTATTTCTTCTACCTGTAAGGTTTGAGGGTCCAAACCCGTGAAGGATGGCCGAATGTTAGATATAATACACGCGCGTGTGTTGCTATGTTTACATCACACTCACACACACATAATATTTGTCTCGACTATGTATAATTTAATCTTCTATTAACTGTAACCTTGAGTCAAAATTCATACTTCATTAGTTCTCTAGATTACTTGTAGTTACCCTTTTGTCCACTAGAGGTCACAACGTTCAGAGTTTAAAAAAGAAAAGTAGTGGTAGTGGAAAGGAGGCTTGGCCTTCTCTACCTCACTACTGCATATCCTCTTATATTCTTTCATTGTGCGCTAAAAAAAGCATGTTCAGAGGAAGACAGGTTAGGGTAGACCTATCGACAGCTAGACATTGTGAGACATCTTGTCATGGTGTGGTGCCAGGAAAATAGATTGAAACAGGAGACTTTTGAGTGGCTTAACTGGAAGGACCTAAGGTAAAAGCTTCGGGTCCTTATTGCTTTAACCCATATCAATGCACAGACAAAAAATCAGGAAGCCTGTTTGTAATAATTTAGACACGGAAATGTTTATTAAATAACTTTATTATCAATCTTCTACTCTAGTACACGTTACTGTCGTATCCGCTTACATAGCTCGACTGGCTCTCGTCACGCTCAGTGTAGCCGCGCATAACTTGCACGCTAGAGGCGCCACCTTATCGCCTAGGCACTACCTGACCGCTGCCAGAGTATACCAGCTACATCAGTATATCACACTTCTCCCTCTCAAGATTGGCATTCCACCTAGCGATTTAGTACGGCGGTTATCCGCACTTCGGAGCCTCAACGCTTACACTTACTTACAAATCTAATCTTAACGGCTTTCTTATAACCCGCTTAGGTCTTCCGTTTACATGTAAACCCGGTAACTCAGTTAACTTTCCCTTTGCGCTAGGAGATGGCTGTTTGGATACTTCGACAGCAGTCGTATCGTTCTCTGTTTCTAACAATGTTTTCTCTTGATTATCACCTGGAGTTATTTTCTCGTTTGCCGTATTTTCTCTAGGAACAGTACCACTCTCGTCGAAGCTTCCAGTTCCAATCCCCAAATCACACGGGGTGCTTAGTCCTATCCATGGCTCTTTGAACGTATTAGCCTCTCCTTCTTCCGGATTTGTTTGTATTTCTCCTTCTACTTCTCCTTGTCCAGCTTTTATCAATTGATCTATGTGCCGACGCCAAATTAGTTCGGGATTTTCTATTAATCTACACCTGTACATTCTCGGACCCATGCAATCTATAATTCTAGCCTTCTTCCAGACTCTTTTGTTCACAACCCTATAGTCCCTCACAAATACCATATCTCCGACTAACAACGTGGTATTCCTGTGTCCCTTGTAATTTTGTATTTGCCTTTCTCGAGCTATTTCGGATCGCTGGTCCTCCCTTAACATGTCAAACCGAGTTCTTATTTTACGCATAAACATTAATTTGGATAGTGTTTCCCCTGTCACGGAATGAGGTGAGTTTCTATAAGCGAACAAATTTCTAGCTATCAGAGTGTCCTGATCCGTTCCCGCATTTCTCCCATCTACTAAAGCTTTTTTTTAGTCCTAGTTTAAAATCTTTTACCACGTTTTCTGCTAACCCATTAGTAGCTGGATGAGCTGGAGCCATGGTCACATGCTTAATCCCATTTTTTTCCAAAATAATTTAAACTCTTCTGCCGAAAATTGCACCCCATTATCCGTGACAATTTTTTTTGGTAAACCAAATCTCGCTACAAAGTCTCTTAACTTGTTTACAGTGGCTTGTGCCGTTACGCTCGCCATGTGGTATACCTCAGGACACTTAGTATATGCATCCTTTATAACCATGAACATTTTTCTACAAAAGGGGCCCAAAAAATCTATGTGCACGCGATCCCCCGGTTCTAGCGCTTCTTCGAATTTAATGAGCGTCGCTCTCGCAGGATTTGGCGCATTAACCTTGCAAGCGTCACAGTTTTTAACGCAATCCACAATTTGAGAGTCCAACTTAGGCCACCAGAAGTACTGACGAGCCGTACTTTTCATTTTGCTGGCACCTAAGTGTGTGGAATGTAGCTCGTTTAATAATTTTCTTCTCAATTTAGACGGTATTACTATACGGTAGCCCCAAAGAATTACTCCCAAGTCTATACTAATCTCTGTTCTTCTATTTACGAACGGTTCTAGTTCATGGTTTAAGTCCGTTTTCGATGGCCAGTTACTTTCCGAGTAAGAATAGACTTTACCGAGTATAGGGTATTTCTTGGTTTTTTTCCTAATATCTTCCATTTGAATAGGTAAATCGTTTAGAGCAAAATAATTAAGATAATCGAAATCTGACTCTACTTTTCCCGTTTCCGGTGGTGGTAATCTCGACAACCCATCGGCCGCTCCGTTTTGGGAGCCTTTAACGTATTGAAAGGTATAATTGAATCCGTACAAATACTGTGCCCATTTCTGTAATCGGGCTGCTGCCATTGCCGGTACCCCTTTGTTTTTTCCGAATATTGCTTCTAGTGGTTTATGATCCGAAAAGATAATAAATTTTTGACCTAGCAAGTACTGTTCGAATTTCTGTACCCCCCAATACACAGCTAAAGCCTCCTTGTGTATTACTGAGTACCCCTTTTGTGCATTGTTCAACGTTTTAGATGCATAACAAATCGGTCTTTCGGTACCATCCGGCATTACATGCAGTAGTACAGCGCCTATACCCTCTTGGGACGCATCGCAATTTAATTTAATCGGTACATTTAGATTAAAATGAGTGAGGCATCTTTCGGACGTTAGCTCCTCTTTCGCTTTTTCAAACGCCATTTCACATTGTTTTGTCCAGTTAAAAATTGCGTTTTTTTGTAGTAATTTATAGAGAGGTGCCAGGACGGTTGAGAGGTCAGGAATAAATTTCCCATAGTAATTAATCATTCCCACGAACGCTCTCACTTGATCTACGTTTTTTGGACGCGGTATTTCCGTCATTGCTGTAATTTTGTTGGGATCCATATGTAACCCTTCCTTGCTAATTATATGGCCCAAGTAATGTATTTTTTCTTTAAAAAAATCACATTTGCTTAACTTCAATTTTAATCCTGCCCCTTGTACCCGTCCTAAGACCTCTCTCAAATTTCTTAAATGTTCCTCGTTTGTCCTACCCGTCCCTACTATATCATCTACAAAGTTTCCGACTCCCTCACATCCCTGTAGTATTCTATCTAAAATTGCTTGAAAAATCACTATCGCTGGTTTGGCACCAAAACATAACCTATTTACAACATAAATACCGCGGTGAGTACTCCACGCTAACAATTTAGATGTTTCTGTACTTACTTTTAATTGATTGTATGCTTGGCTCATATCTTATTTTGTAAATCTTTCACCCCCTTGTAATTTAGCAAACAATTCCTCAATTCGAGGGAGAGGGTATTTGAAATCTTCTAAATGTTTGTTTATCGTTAATTTGTAATTTGTACACAATCTCATTTTTTTGTTAGATTTTAAAATAGGCACCAAAGGGGTACCCCACTCATTGTTCGGAACGAGTTTTATAATACCCTCTCTCTCTAACCGGTCCAATTTTGTGTCTACATCTTTTCTAAATGCAAACGGTATTGGGCGCGGTTTTACAAATCCTGGTTGTACCTCCTCTTTCAATTTAAGGTTTATTTCTTCCCCATTGTAACATCCTAATTTTCCATCAAATAAATCTTTATACTTATCTATGATGCCTTTAGCTCTATATCAAAATTTTTTGTGCTCAAGTTATTAACATCAACCACCTCTAAATTTAATAATTTCATTATATCCCGGCCCATTAGCGTTACTCCGTTTCCTTTCGTTACTATTAAGTTTCCCTCTGTCTTTATTTTATTGAACTCAATTTTAACTTTTATTTGTCCTACCAGAGTAATTCTTTCTCCACTATATGTTTTCAATATTTTTGTTGTTTGATCTAACCTCACTTGTAGGAATTTTTCTCTGTACAACCTCTCTGGTATAATCGAAACACTCGCTCCCGTGTCAATTTCCATTTCAATCCACTTTCCTTCTATCTTTAGCTTCACTTGAAAAGGAGGTACTGAACCTACTGCTTGCAAATTAAACAAACACACGTCGTCATTTCCCTCCGTTTCTAACCTATCCACCTTCTCCTGGCCCGCCTCGATTTTAAAATTACTTTCTTTTCCCTCTTTGAGACAAACCCTAGCCAAATGCCCCACCTTATGACAATTTCTACATTTAAAAGTCTTATATCTACAATTCGCAAAATCAATGGTTCTTCCCGCCACAATGGTTGCATTGCAGGTTACCTTTGTTGTCCGTTGATTTTTCTTCCTTCTTGTACGTCGTTTTTTTGTCCCAATTCTGCTCCTTCAGGCTTCCACTTGCGTTGTTTGTTTTCCTCGAATTTGAGTATCTTCCCTCCATCTTGTGTACTTCAGACGAGGCAAACGCCGTAGACGCCACCATGGCCTCTTCTTTGTTCAAAGCAACCTCTATTAGCTCCTTTAACGTTTTTGTGTGTGGCTCTTCGCACATTCTATCGAGTATTTTCCCCGCTTTAAGTCCTGTTATAAATTTATCTCGTAGATGCTCTTCCAGCAAGTTTCTGAACTCACAGTTGACCACCTTACTTTTCACGCGAGCATACCAACAATTGATTGATTCTGTCTCTGTCTGCCTTAATTCGTAGAATTCTTTTCTCTCTTTAAAGACTGAGATTTTTGGTGAAAACTGGTTTATAAACATTGTCTCCGATTAACGTGAGTAGCACCAAAACCTTCCTGTCCTCTTGTACGTAGTTTGCTATGAAATATTGTTCCATGCGCTCTTGGTATACCGACCAGTTATCTCCTTCACTATACTCTCTTAAAGCTCTGTAATTCGCATGTATATTTCGATTATTTTGTTGCGGTAGCGTTGGCCAATTTGCAAAACCCAACTGCTGCAAAGCCTGTGCCGCCGCTTGAACTCTCTGCTCCTCTGCTCTTCTGGCTTGCCTTATTTCTTCTTCGTTCATTTTTTTATTTTTTTTTTATTTTTACCTCGTCGCCAATTGTAATAACTTAGACACGGAAATATTTATTAAATAACTTTATTATCAATCTTCTACTCTAGTACACGTTACTGTCGTATCCGCTTACATAGCTCGACTGGCTCTCGTCACGCTCAGTGTAGCCGCGCATAACTTGCACGCTAGAGGCGCCACCTTATCGCTTAGGCACTACCTGACCGCTGCCAGAGTATACCAGCTATATCAGTATATCACACTGTTTATTCCAAACAGCAGAATTTTTGCTGGGATATTAGATCGTTTTTTCTCGCTACTAGGTATTGTGTAATAAGCTTACAGGAGGTAAGAATTGTCATGTATAATGATTGTCAGGTGGGTTATGCTTATTAGCGCGAGTTTCCTTGTTTTTTCTCCTCAAGTGCCTATTGATATATTTGGAAAATATTAATTTTCATGAGGGTTGGTAAACGGAGTGCAAAAGTACTCTTTCGTATGCTGAGTAGTTGATATCACCAAGATATATTATAATATATATGCTACAGTTGTCATTTTTATTGTTATTTTATTTTTAACGTTAATGCAGTGGTACAAACGTCAGGATTTAAGGTGGCTCATCTCTTTTTGTAAAGGTCGAGCCATCGTATCAGATTTGAAAATGTATGATTAAATGGGACTCAAAGAGTCTACTGTTAGAGTTTCTAGAAGAAGGACTAATTTGAAATTTAAAAGTTTTACATGGCATCCACATTTCTTAAAGAGATCTTTATGAATTCAGTGACGAACTTGTATTGGTACTCACAAAGTGTGTCTGAAGTATTCTTAAAGTATTCCTACAGTATCCCACTTACGTCCCTTTTTTTGAATTCTCTGAGAGTTCACCAAGAGTTCTTTTTTCTACAATTTCACTTCATAAAGAGTTCTAAAAGTATTCATTTTGATCCCATGGAACTTAAAAATAGAATTTAAATGAAAAACTATTTCGTTGAAAAGTAGGTTTTTCGCTTCTGTAATTACACTAACTCTGACTTCCGATTTACACTTATATCAGAAAAAAAGTCTGCAGCCAAGTGGAATCGAACTCAAGATAGCTAGAGCCCGCATGTGACACAAACTCGCTTCTCCACACGACTATCGAGGATTCAGAAGTTCATAAGCATTTAACGCCTACATTAACTACATACTAATTATTCCGTAATAACATAATAATTCTAGCGAGCCCTGATGGCTAGGACAAGTTTTGGAGCTTTTTATAAACATAAGTAACTTTTGACTGTAGTTTACACAGTTCTCCCTTAGATGAATCGCATGCAAGTTCGTCGTTTTGTTTTTGCATTCTTGGGCTCGAATCTTCGTCGATGTGATTTGACTTTTTTTTACTATTTTGACGGTTTTATTAGTTATTCATTAACTGTTTTGTCCTCAAAGTCTTCTATTACTATTAATTAGGCAGACACGTAAGTTAATATTAAATACGGTGGCGAATGTTTATTATGGTGCAAAACTTAATTTTTTTTCACACGTTGCTACAAAAAATAAAAATAAGTAAAATTTTTAAATCAATAACTTCGAGACTTTTACGTTTGTGCATGTATTTTTTATTGATTTTCAAACAATGCTTCACTTTTTTACTCCTAAAACGACATGAAATAAGTGATCGGTATAATTTAAAGTAAGAACTGAATATTTATTATTAAGTTATGAAGAAAATTTACATACGACATCCTCTTGGATATTTTTCTCTTGAAATAGCAAAAAACTTATTTTTTTGTTTCGAAAAAAAGTTATAATAAAGTAATTTTCGTAAGATACAAATATCCAAGCTTGGAGCTTATTGGACAATAACGATAAAATTATTCAATGTATAATGTAATAACTGCTTCAAAGTATTTAATTATTAGTATTGTGGAGCAAATTATTTGTATTTGAGAATGTTCTATGTATATTGATATTTACATTCATTGATAAGTTTTATGGGATAGCGGATTTTTTATATATATTAAAAAACCATCATCCCGATCTATCCGGTTGTGAAGGAACGATCAAATTTTGCCGCAGTGTGAAAGCATTAATTAATGCAACGAATATCAGAACGCCAATCAATAACTTGAAGCCAGATAATGCGATGTGGCAGGTAAAATATAATTATAAACACTATATGACGTGTTATCAATATATACTTATTTCTTTATATTTTTATATGTATGTATCAATCGTGATTATGATTTACTTGTTTGAACGCTGCGAAGAGTACTGAAGAGTTCATTAAGTACTTAGAAAAGTGGGGATGTGAAGCGACACAAAAGGGATATGATTTTATAACTGCCTCCACGTGTTACGGCTTGAAAGTTTCTCTAAAATACGCCTTACAGATATGTCGCTACCTAATTGAAAGTTGCGGTTTCAAGTATCTAATGAAGTCAAGATTAAATCAAGACAGCCTTGAGATACTTTATTTTGTGTTCTTGTTTTTTTTTTTTTTTTTTTTTTTTTTCAAAGGGTATACAGTAATTTAACGATTTTTACAAAAACATTAAATTTTGAATGACTGTGGCGATACTGTAAGCGAATTTACTATTTTTTAAATATGTATTAAAGGTGGCCAATTAAGCCATCTGAGAAAAAAATGCTTGTTATGTTATACATATTTTTCTTATGGACTAAAAGGACCGCTCTATTGTTTAATGGCAACAAGTTACTTTTAAGCTGTTGTACACGTATACGTTAAAAATATTGTATACTTTTCGAAAAATAGTGAATTACGTACCATGGGCTCAAAGTATGAATAGCGCGACGATAGGTCACGTTTTTTGTATGTTTGTACCCGCGGTACGAACGATGTTTATTTTCCTGATGGCGCGAAGTATAATTTTTCGCCAATGAGCATTATTTTAGCCGTAGAGAGGTAAAGTACGTCGAATCTGGCAGAGTCGTTGGGTACATCACCGCCTAAAGGCACACCTGGCACAAAGTAATTTGCTCGACCAAAGTGAGTCTATGGTGCAAAACTGTATTTCCTGCCCTATAAATTTAGTACGACGTTGTCATTTTGGGCATGCTTATTGAAACGTATCTTTCAGTCACGTTATTTGTGCTTTGCGCTCATGGTACAAAATACACCATATATAAAGTGACCAGCAAGTACTGGCCATAGAAAAACCGTAACTTGATTAAATATTCGTAGTCCTTCTTAAGTTAACGTTTATGTACGATTTATCATAATAATAGGCTCTGTTGTGTTACATTGTTATCCTTTTTCGTGTAACCTGTTGTTTGAAATAATAACTTTTTTCACGTAAACAAGTATCTCTTTACATATTATTATCACCCTGTTTATATTTAAGAAAAGATATATGCGTCAAAATCAATATTTATGGTTCAAATTATAAAGAGTGTGTACGAAACATGGAAAATCAGCTTTAGAAACCCCGTATGGGATCATTTTCTACACCCAACTTAGAGATATGTTTCTTTAAAGTTGTTTCTCTCTCAACTGGTCACTCAACTGGTCAATTATTATTCTCTCAACCCTGATGTAATATAATTTGTAACGTTTTTTGGGATGATGAGATATTGCTGTGGTTTAAATGATCACCCCGAGTCTGCTTTATTTGTGCAAATGTACAAATTTGATAATAAAACTACTGTCTTCTTGCTCCTTTGCCATAATTGAGGAAATTTAAAAAAACTTGGAATCTTGGAGCATGGCTATTTAAATAGCAAGTTTTTTTCATTTAAATTTCCTCAAATGTACAAATTAGTAGCTACGTACTCTTTGATTAAGGCTGATCTGTCGTTAAGGCAAAGTAATGAGAAATCAATAAAACTTTTTTTGCACAATCTTGGTAAAACTATTAATCAGTGTACCAAATATTAAATCGATCTGATCGCTGTGAGCTGAGTGATAAATTTCCAAACTACCGTATTTTTGCATGGCCTCTTATGGTAGGTCCCAAAAATTAACTATAAAACTTGTGTTTTGAAGTGCTTCTAATAATCAGAAGCTCATGAAAAACTAGTATAACGTTGTACTTGATACGTGATATGACAGTAAATAATTTGGTAAGGTTTTGTTCGCTGGTTTTAGAGATATTACAATAGAAAGACCACAATTCACGGTGAAAATGATGGTATCAGAAAGTAAACATACCAGAAACGGCAACGTCGCAAGAGCTCCACGCGGGCGCGCTATTTAAAATTATAAATTCTTGCAAGAACCGCAAGATGTACAATCTTCTTCTTGTAATTTTAATGATTCCGACTAATTTTGTTAGAAGTGTCATCACGTTCCAAGTATGACTAAATATGGTTTAACATCTTCTTAACTAAAAAGTATTTATGACAACAATTAAAAACGAATATAATTCTTAAAGAAAGTATTATTCTTTCAGCTTGTAAAAAACATGTCAGACATGAAAATATGTACAATAAAAAATTTTGTCACTATTTAATTTATTCCCAACATTTTTTTACAATCAATTATTTAAATGTCAAAATATACAACAGAAAAATAAAATTTCAAAGCTCGCAATAATGCATGAGTATATCTCAACTGTTCGTGATTAATAGTAAAGACAACTTTATTAACAGTATTTATTGTCTTGTACATCTAAAATTTGTATGAATTTTAAGAACTAACGATATGAAATAATACTTTTGCTCACCATATTAAATCATGAGATCTATTGATTACTTACATAATAAGACTGATTACAAAAAGAAACGTAGTAAAATACGAATAAATACATGTTAATACGTTAATATAGTCTAATCATAGCAAAATCTCAGTAAGTGCTAGTGTCACGATATAATTTTAATTTTAATTTTAGGTAAAAAAAAATTTAGCCAGTTACAGCTCATTATCAACAATAAATGATTAAAAAATAAATGACTTTTTCAATCACAGCCGAGGAACTTGCGGTTTCCCGTTAAATTTTTTCGAAAACAAGGAATATATTCCCTGAGATCCTTCCGATGAGTATCTATCTATTAAAGATTAAAATATCTCAAAAGAAATATTAGCTAATACGAGTCTTCTGTTTGTGGTGCTCGTAATAACTTTATTTAAAGGTGCTAAATTTTTGATGCACTACTCCTGACTAAAAATCAAATGTAGAGCTTCTTTTTTCTCAATCAAATGGCGTTGATAATTTTGAAGTGCTTTAGAATATTTTGAACGATTCTTACGTTTACCAAGACGTTGTGAGCTTGATCAGTGTTAATATGAGCTTCAACTGCTAACGATTCTAATGAACACCTTTTCTTTCTATTCACAGCAGCTCTAAGTAATAGTAACGTATCGACAAATCTATCAATAAGCCCCTTGAATTCATCTAACATTTTGGCTCTGCGAAGACTGTAAATTAAATGGGCTTTATCAAAATTGCAATTGTGTGCCGCAAGCACACACATCTTTCCACAGGAAATCAAAAATTCTTTAAATGCTTTTAAAGCTTCAATTAAAGGCATGGTTACAACTTTATCGCCCCTGTAGTACAGCTCTCCTCCAATACTTCGAAGATAATTTTTTTCACTAGCTTATAACGGAAAATTGTGTTCACATAGTATTAAAACCGAATATTCCACCCTCTTTAGAAGAAGGAGAGGCATTGTACCAAGTGGGAGAAAACCGAGGTGATGAGCGAGCGAGAATTAGCGGAAAGCGGCAGTCCCAGCAAGGAGCTGATAGAGAGTAGTAGGCTCGCACCCTATACCTCACTGTTCTTCTCCTGTGGCTCTGCCAAGACCAAGCGGATAGAATTAATACAAATAATGTTAGCTCTGTATACTCAGATAACAGATCAACTTCTTATGTAATATGTTAAAATTAATAAAGTTTAATAAATCACGAACTTAACTCTAATTTTGGAGCATTTGTATCTATTGTTTTCTTTTGGTATACAGATGAATGTAGTAAGGATGACTTTTGGGCTCGTACCCTGAATTTCGTCTTTCCATCCACATATTTAACAGCTGTATTTTTTTCCGAATAAAAACAAAATAATTCCTGGCTTCAAGTAAAATCATTAACGAGGCATCGAGAAGGCGACAACCAAAGTGAAGATTGATCGTGAGACAGAGTCACCACAACGAATATCAGATAAGTACATCCATCATGGATATTCGAAAACCTTTCTGAAATAGTTCTCTTGAAAGTACTAGTATTGCTGACACCAAGAACGTTTCTACCTTATTCTGACTTCTTCCCGATCATTTCCTGGAAGATCAGAAAATACATACATAATACATAAATATAACCCATACTCCGTAAATAAGAAAGTCGTTCATAACACTTCATTTCTTAATTTCGATAATATAGTAAAATAATACAAATCTATAATTATCGAATTATTACGATATTTATCATGAATATTCCATATTTTACGCACACATACGCATCGATCCATATTTCGGTATTTCAACTAGCAAGACCGTTGAATCGGGTCAATATACTTACTGAAAAATAAACACTCTAGGTGCGCAAAGACTTTGAGCAAGCTATAGAAGCTTATAAGCTGCTGGACTGATAGATGAAATTGGTTTTATGTACACATCGAAACTTTTTGCCCCACAAACAGTACCTATCTGGAAAATTTTGGACTATTTCATTAATCCAGTGGTTTCAAGATCAAAAAGAACGAGAGGAACACTGTTGATTTCTACTTCATCAGGTGTATGGGAAAGAGTTAAGGCATAGGTAGTGAATCCTTGGTCCAAGAAGCCCATGACAGATGCGTATATCACGCCTTCTTCTTCTTCTTTTCTATATTTGAGAGCATTTCTGTTATTTTGTAACAGCTTTCGTCGACTCTTGAATTCTTTTTTTTTCATTTTAGCAGCAAATTTGTTTCTCCTCTTATCGGAATTTACATAAAACTTCGATGTATTTTTAGTACTAGGAGATAAATTCAAATTGTGTGTCACTGCTTCAACGTAACGCTCTCACAGATTAATATTACAGACGGCAGCAGCGTATCTATAATCTGCGGATGCACTTCTTAAGTAGCATCTCATATTTGGACACTTGTTTGCTGTTACTTGATTTAAATTTTCATTCCTTCGAGTTGATGCTCCATGTGTGAATTTACCAGCAATATCGGCGATCTTAGCTAATAGTATTGTCAGCGGAACTTGCAAAGACGCGTTGATGAATCCACCTGGAATCAAAGAATGCTGATAATTTTCTTTTTCTCGTGTGTAACCACACCATGTACCGCAGCTATCATGTTCATTGAAAACATGAGAAGGAATACTTCGTGTTGAGTTGTTTCTCTTTCTACAAGTATGAGTGCGTTTCACTTGTTGTGTTCGTGTTGCCACTCAGATTTGCGTGATCTGTATTGCGAGCGCCACTCGCGCCCTCCGCCCGTCCTACCAGCCTTTGCGCTAAACTCTGTTAGTTTTTGTAGTCCGCCTGCGACACTGTTACGAGTCAGTCGCTTGCCCTTCAACTTTATATTGCTCAGTCTCTACAATAAATCGAAATACTTAATCAAAAGGGTCTTATTTGTTAATTATCCGAATCACCCGTCCCTTTAGCATTGGTCTTAACACTTCGAATAGCAGCTTGTAAATTTTCGGTATCCTTAAAGGAATCCGGAAAGTTCTTTATACTGCTTTTGCATGCTAAAAAGTTGATTTGATATGCCCTTAGACACATGACTACTATCGGACAATTTTATTATTTCATGGTCACTTTGAGCTCTAACTTTTGCTATGGAGGCACTGTCATCATCTCCACTGAAAATTCCAACTTCAACGTTAAATTCTTTCAATATTTGACTATGGAAAACAAGTTCAACTGCGAGATCACTCTCCATTACTTAAGCGCTTCTATAAAAATTGGGCCGACAATCATGATCAGACGCAGAATGCCCAAGATTGCATTTTCTGCATTTTCGATTTCTGTTGCCATAATCCAAAATTTTGAGGCTGTACATACCAAATAGACAACCACACCCGTCGAGGCTGTCATAATTTTGGCCTGAATCATGCTTGATGTATGCCATATCATACGACACTGCAATCCTTACTTTTTCTTTCTGATGCTCAAAAGGATAACTATGACGTATCATCAAACTTACGCCATCCCTATGTACGGAGTAAATGGGAATTGCCTGTAAAGGATGATTTATTGATAAATCATTACTTAAAATTGACGATGGTAATTCAAATGTCCTCAGTGATTTGTATGATTTAACGCCTGGTGCCTCAATAGGCTGAGTGAGATCGGAAGTTGTCGAAGGTGCAGTAGGAAAAGAAGAGATCGGAGAAGTATTGTCGTTCGTTGTTGATAATGCATTTTTTTTCAAGTCCATACAAAGATGATCACCATCAATATCAGTAAAACTGGAATCTGGTGCAATAAAACTTTTATCCCGATCTGTTGGCCTGTTGAAAATAGGAAAATAAAAAGCTCTCAGATTTTATAAAATAATTTTATTGCTGCGTGGAAAATGCATAAGTCATTAAAGATCATTAAAGATCTGCCCAAGCAAAGTGTATATGAAACCACTTTGTTATCCTTGGTATAAATTGGTCATTTTCAACATTAAAAATATTATTCAGTAGACGTTTGTTGTAAATTGTAAAAGTACTACATAATTATCACACATCGTAGATGTAAAAAAAATCGTAAATATAAATTTATCGTAGTCAATTAAAAATATTTCTGCACCCTAATTCGACGACGACAGCAAAAAAATGATTAAGAATTAATAAAATTTTTACAGCATTTGGCTTGTCTTGTTGATATTTTGGAGAGTCAACTGCTTTTCCAGTTGTATGGTATCACGACCACTGTTCTTAGCAACATTTTCGATGCTTTTAGCAACAATTTGTTCATGCCTCTTGAAAAGATGGTGTTCTATCGAAGGGATATTGAGGATAACTAATACTTTATTTAAATGAGTGCCACTCGTGCCAGCATCTAATGATCCTAAAAAATTTCACAATAATTAGTTTAAAACTTAAAAATTTTCACTAAAAAAAGTGTACGTTACAACAGCTGACCTAGAGCAGCTCTGCAATTTACTGTATACACTCTGCGTTTCCCATCTGCCTGCTGTGAGATATATTCACTGGTGGGTACTTTATTGATGAAGAGACACCCATTGCAACGAATACTGAAAATACTCGCTAATTCGTGACGTTTCTCATCCTCAATCTTTTTTAAGGAAAGTGTGTTATTACACGAAGAGCATTGTGAAGCATTTCGAAAAACATCGATGTCAACGATCCGTCGACCTATTTTCAGGGAGGATTGCTCCTTGTTAATTTGTTTGTCCGAGTCATTGTTGACTTGCTCCCACTTTCTCTTCATTGAGGTATTAAGTTTTTCTCGCTGCAAATATACTTTTTTACTAACATTCCTACTCTTCCACTTAAAAATTTTTTCTTTTGGTATGCTCATAACTCAAAATGTAAGGTTAAGAGTAAGCAGCAGACAGTAAACAACTCATCGAGAGAAAAAAACGAACGGCAGACAGCTGATTTGTTGTTGCCAACTATAGCCACTCAGAATTTCACGGCAGCGTGACAGCGTTGTCGTCGTTTGCACGCAGCTCATACAATTACAAAATTATTTATAATGGTCAACTTTAGCATACGTATTGAATTTCAGCGATATTTTAATTATTTTCAAACTCTTTCAACCACAAATCTTGTCATATTTAAGTACATATGAAATATTTATTCAGTCGAAAATTTTTTTTCAACAGTTGGCAACTTGTGAACTTTTCTATACTAGAGCATAGGAAGTAGAGCTCTCCCCTCCACCCCCTCAAGCAACGACAGGTCAACCTTAAGTCTCCTAAAGGATCGAATGTTCGTGGCAGCGAAATATTGGATTTTCTTATAAATATTAGAAATCAAAAATGATGATGACACGGGACACCACAGTGGAACGCTCAAATCGATACCATTTTGGACAAAGGCTTACACGCTAATCACATTTATGACGCTGCCATTTTTTTATAAGAACATGATTATTTCAAATGTTCGACGTCGGATTACGTTATTGCTTATGTTAGTGGATTTGTAGCTCGAAAAGCACAAGGATTGCAAACGTCAAAACAGAAAAAACTTGATACATTTGTATAGATTGCAGAGAGTCTCATATTACATGAGTTTGAAAAAAGCACCGAGGCCCACAGGCTAATTAAGATGAGGTCTAAATTGTACTTAAATTAGTCGAACCATCCGTGCACTTATTTTCATTGATTAACCAGCTTGAGCTTGCAGTGCTACAAGTCGTCAATACCGGTGCAATCAATTCTGAAACCATCTTTGAAATGAATAAAGCTCTAGATAATCTTGGTTTTGTGCCATACGTCAGCTGTAAAAAGCATTTCATGTCATGTAAAAAAATAACATTCTATTTGACAACTCGAATGTTTTTTATAACAAATCAAGCCAATAAAAATAAGGGAATAGAAAAAGGAAAAACAAGAGAGAAGAGAAAATTAGCAAAGCTTCGGTATGCTCCTGATAACGTGGATGGTTGTTCCGATGACAAACTAGTCAAAGCAAAAAAAAGGGAAAGGAAACAACAAGAAAGTTAAATCTACTAGCACGACCTCACGTCAAGGTAAAAAAATAGTGAAACCAAAAACGAAGACATTACAAAACCAGAACTTTACACAAATAGCTGATTTACAATGAATTGTAATTTCGACTTCATTTTTTATATTTTCTAGCTTATACCAGAAAATAACTAATTGTTTCTGCTTACGTTTTCTTGTATAAATTCTACAAAAATTCTAAGACTCCTACTTCTTTTATTTCATGTATTCAGTTTATTTATTGTCCTGCATAAT